CTACGCACGACTGAAATTGTACGTTCATAACCGTAGCAACAGACCCCAGATGAGCCCAGACGCTCTGCGGCTCTCATTTTTCTAGCTGCAGAAATGTTAATTTTGGCTCTTGCATTACCTGTGCTTATGTATAAAAGCTTCATTATTCTAATGCAACATGTGGAATCCGAAGTTTGTATTATAATTTATAAAAGTAAAAACATGCAGGAAACGTTAGAACCCATTTTTTTCGCTACACTAAAATTTTCTTACATTTTTAGCGACAGCGAGCAGCGTTCATGTTTTTATAAAACTAGCAATTTATAAGAATACTGTACCATTTTAATTATAGGTGTATCAATGCAGAGAAAGAGTGCACTACATTCTTGCAAAGAACTGCAGTAGACATTAAATTGGCTTCTTTACAGGATATGCATACTGATCTTGGACAAGAAATCTATTCAGAGTGTATGTGTTTTCTATTATGCATGCCATTAAGATGTCTAAACTATTGTAATATGCTATTATTTGTGTAACATGTAATTTATATATATGCACTTTTTGCAATTATTTCTTCCCTCAAAAACTGTAGTGGTTTTTAGAACCTATATATATAAATGTAGATTTGTCTACTTTATGCTTTGTAGTTTGTATTGTCTTTGGTATGGACAGCATATGGACTGTCATCTACAATGTAGCACATTGAATTATTGAATTCTATAGTAATACCAGAATACTGGTATACATTGTTATATATGATTGCAGTTACTATTTTTTGCTTTACAGTAAGAAAACAGGAGAAGCAATTATTGCATGTGAAATTTAACATAAAACAATTCAAAAATGAACTACAGCATTTAAAACCGACTCCTCAATGTAAGTAATTAATAATTATTGAGAAAAAACATATGTGATCTATCACAGACAGTCTCATACCAGGAAAAAATCCCATTTGTGAACCGTGCATAATTATTGTTGGAATGTGTTTTAGGATCTGGTGAATTCCATTTTGAACTGAAATAAAGACTGAATGAGTGAAACTTTGTGAGGTTGTATATGTGGCTGGGTGGGTGTATCTGCAGCTGAAGGGGTTGAGTTCACTACTACATTTCTCAGACATGTGCACAATTGTAGGAATTTTGTTTTTTGATGTTACTCTATATAATGCATTTCTAAAGTATGTCTATATTTTTGCAGTTGTTGAGACACTGAGAAACGTAATGGAGGAGGTTGAGAGTGCTATAACTAATGCAAAGCAGCAGCAAAGACAGATGTATGTATGCATTGTCGACTCTAGTATTAATGCAAGGTTATCAGGAGCTAGATTGAGCTGAGGTGATCTAAAGCATGTTTACTGTATGAGTAATTTACATCGAGGCCAACCATGTTAACTGATTTTATCATGGTCATGATAAATGAAAGGTGGTTTATTTATGTGCTTTGCACTGTAAATAGGTCAGCGTTAAGATAAAAATAATTTGTGACACAATGTGACGATAGTGAAAAGTTACGTGTTGGTTGAGATTTTCATATTGGAAATTGTGACCAAAAAAGTATTGTTGCTCTTGTTATCCTTCGTATCCGGACGACTAACTCCCGGACAACTACCACCCGGACAATTACCCCCCTAGGACATCTCCCACCCAGACAACTGCCACCCGGACAACTACCCTCTAGGGTTAGGGTTGTCCTAGGGGGGTAATTGTCCTAGGGGGGGGGGGTAGTTGTCCGGGTGGCAGTTGTCCGGGTGGTAGTTGTCCTAGGGGGGTAATTGTCCGGGTGGTCGTTGTCCGGGGGGTAGTTGTCCAGGGGGTAGTAGTCCTAGAATCGTTATCCTTGTGTTTGTGTGTAAAATTACACTTATTCATTTCTGTTTCTAGTGTACTAAGTACTCATTATACTTTGCTTTACCATGTTTCGGTTGCATCTCATTGATTATTTACTACCTTTGAGTATATATCACAGAAGTTTCACTTTACTGCATGATACAAGCATGTTTGTGTTGAGTCAAACTATGTCTGGCCTAGTGTATGTTATTTTAATGAACATCTTCTACATTCTAAGAACGCGTGCCGGATTTATAGCACGATTTATGCAAGACTATGGTCAAGAAGTTATTTGACAGTTTTTTTTTTTATTATCCATTTGTAACAATGCTTTCCAGTTACAAATGCAGTTTTGTGTTTTCAGACAAGAGAGTCTGAATGAGGAGGAGAACGTTTTGTCGCTAGAGATAGAAGCAATAGAGAAGCGTGTAGACAGTTGGCGCCAGTACCTGGGCCATGCAAGCGAAGGTGGCGCAATCTCTTCCCATCCTCAGCGACAGCCTGCCATGAGACAAGAAAGCCAAGCTAACAAACCTGCTGAAGTAGAACAGTTTGATGTACGATCACAGTTTTATTCACGTGCAGGCAGCATTTACGTTTTAAAAATTACTGAAATGTTTGACACGACTTTAAATGATTACCGCATGTAATATATCTCTGCATCGTCCACAAAGCATGTTTAATATAACTATGCCATAAAATCATAATGTCTCCTTAGTTGCCAGTCCTCCGTCCTCAGTGTGGTATTGCCTTACTTATCTCCACAAATGACAACTAATACTTGGTATTAGGAAAAGCTATATAGTAAATGTGTGTTAGTCAGCTTCAGTTAATTCAATGAGCTCTGATATACTGGTTACAGATCTATGCACAGCAGCATGGTGGGCTGTATGGTGGATGGGACGAGCAAGATCACAGACTGTTTGTGCACCTGTTTAACAGACTAAAGGTAACACTACGATAACTACACATTTATACAACAAATAGGTATCGTGGTCACATCCAGCTGATCACATTCTATGATAGCAGTGTTCTTTATTGGGCATTAACTTGCCACTTTGTCTTGGTGAAATAATTTTTATACATAGCAAGCTGTTGTTGTAGGACAAAGATAAGCTGGCTCAAGAAATGATTAGGCACATCCCGTGTTTTACCACTGAAGAGTTGCAGCAGCACATTTCATGGTATGAAACTTTCCTCCAGCTGCAAGAAAGCAAAAAATTAGCCATTGCATCTTGGCGGAAACAGAAACAGGTAATGTCACATGTGCCAGCCTTAACAGAACCATTCTAGTACAGGAGTGTAGTTTTCTTTTCTAATATATTAAATTAACCGTAACAATTTAACCACCACACGACATACCCATCCTGGTGTTTTTCAACACGTTTGTGTCTTATATTTCTCTGTAAACAAAGCAATCTCAACGCAATACATAATGAGTCCAATGAACGAACTCTTGATAGCATGACCTGGTTGCCTGTGACTGGATACTAGTTTCGGAATGTATGAGCAAATTCTGTCGAAACTCTACCCATGTGGCTAGATGATAGTCATGGAAAAGGTCAAACATAAAACACTGTCTCCTCTTGAATTTAAGATGAATTCTCGTTTAATATCAGGTTGACTGAGAGGTATGTACTCTTATGAGAATAGCATCTCAGTTCTATGAATACGTATATCATATGAACCTGTGGCCGTTCCTGCAGCACAATATGTGATCAATAACATTGTCCCGTCACAAACTACAGTATATCGCATGGCCCCCACGCACACACTGCATCAAACTGCTGCATGAGTAGCCAAACGACCTAGGAACGTGGAAATATACCCAAGACAGTTACACACGTAGATCTTTCATTATGACTAGGGAATATCCTTATACACATATATATATGTAACAGATCGAAAACAGGCAAGAAATCGACGTAGTGCAAGAAAAGACTGAAGCGCCTGTTGCTAAGGATATGGCTAAAAAAGAACAAGAACGTAGAGAGAAGACAAAGAAGATTGAAGAGTGGAAAGTATGTATGATGCATGGTAGTGTATATGAAATAGATGCTATGTTCACTGCATACCGTGTCATACTGGATGACTGGATACTGGATGATAGTTGTCTACAAAGTTAATATTTGCCACAGATCTGGGCATTCTGAAAAAACATTGTCAAATTTAAAAATCAATGGCCAAAAAGTAAATATGAAACTTTAGTATCAACTCAAAGTGTGGGACCTAAATCATACACCCATGTGATTTTACCAAATCTAAGCAACTTCACCTCCATATTTTGCATATATGGTATAATGGTAACGATATCAAAAACTGTTAAATGTGAATATGGCAATAAGAATAAATGTGCACTGGGTCAACGACCCTATTTTCAAATATGTTTGACATGGTCTGATGAACCCACCATAATTTCTGCATTTTGTTGACAAATATGCTGAAGCGAGGTTAAGGTGGTGTGTGTATTAGAGTAAGCAAGCTCACACTTCAGTGTTTTACCTTTGCATGTTCGTTTGCCAACTGAATAAAATTGACAATCACTATTCTGTAGTCTCACAATGTTCAATGTGTGTAGAACCGCCAACAATTGGCAGCAGTAGGAGTTGTAGCAGTAGCAGTGGTAGTAGGAGAGATATTTTATTACACATTTTCCTAACCATTAATTTAGGCAAAATGCAAGGAAATTGATGAGGAACAAAAACATCAGAAGTGCATAGAAGACGACAAAAAGATGCATGCACAAGAAAAAGAAAGAGACAGACAGGTTAATTTTACCATCCATATGCTATGTGCGCTTACATTATTCTGAGCATACTAGAAGCTGAAGAGGTGATTCATTTCAATTAATGCTTGGAATTTAGCTAATAATTTGTATGAAAAGCTAGATGGTGTATTATTTGATAATCAGTCACCATAACAACCATTTTTATAACAGAGACGATTGAAAGCGCTTGCTCTTCAATACAAAACTAAAAAGCAGGAGAATGAAGAATGGCAAAGAAGACTAGAACATGAAGAGCAGCATCTGGTGAACACAAGACAGATCTTAGCTGCAGAGGAGATTGCACGGTTTAGAGAAAGAGTAAGTTTATGTCACCTATTGTTGGATGCTGTAGATGTTTTGTTGATTGTACAGGTTGTATATTGATTTCTCATTATGATAATTTACAGTTTGAAGTCTTGCATGTGAGTAAAATTTTATTGAAAATACACAGAGGTCTTTCATTGCTAGATAGTTTTGTCTGGTAGACAAAAATATTAACAGAAAAATCCCGCACCAACGCACGCACAATGGAAGTAATCAGTTAAAAACCTTTTTTAATGTAATATTCTGTAACATGAATCAGGTTTTCCCATTGTCTTCCATTATATAATTGCAGACGAGTTCTTACATTGTTTTTGGTCAAAAAAAGCAGTCTGAAAAGATCCTCTGATCTCTCCTAATAAATGCACAATTATCAGTACATGTATTACATTAATTTCCTTGATGGCCATTGAGCACACCAATTTATGGGTAGAATACCCATTCATTTATTAGAAAAGTTGTATGAGGAAAAAATTTTGTTTAGTATTGTGAATTAAGTGGTCCAAATTTACAAATTATTAATAGGTGAATGTACGTCACCTGAGTTATCGTTATACGGTGTATCTCTGTATCCCTGACTCCATCTGACATGCTCTAGGATCAGAAGTTACACCAAAAAAGGATAGAGCAAGAGAAATTGAAACAGCGAGCGGTGCAGCAGAAAGAAGACCGATTGGCAAAACTCAAGCAGAAGGTATAACTAAACCACTATTACATGAATTTAACAAAGCATGCACATGTATTGGAGCTATCTTGGTTAATTTTTACTCATCCGTGTTGATCAAAACGTACTGCTGACGTTTCGCCTCCTATCAGAAAGCTTTCTCAAAGCTGACTGAAGTTGTCAGATTTGACCACCAGATGGTGTAGTGGTCAACAGCTTGGTTCACTAGTTTATGCACATATTATTAACTTGTAACGTAAGAAAAACTTGTAACTTAAAATTATAGTGGCAGATCTATGAATAGCTTCACGTGATATTCACATTTGGCATATGTATGGGCAACCTGTAAACAAGATGACAAACTGCATTGGCTCTAAAGGCATGCAGTTAGACCTCGATTATCTGAATGAGACAGGCGGGGAGTATTTTGTTCGGGTAACGGGTGGTGTAGTGGCTTATTACATATTCACGAGACCTTGAGATCTTGTTCGGATAATCTGAAATTCGGATAATTGATGTTCGGATAACCGAGGTTTGACTGTGTATGTGGTTTCTTATTTGACTGAGAAAATCACGAATATAACTGTCTGTATTCCTGCCAACATGAGTTTGCATTACTTTGAATGCATACCGCTCACTCCTGTTGGTTAATCAACTTCACAGGTAGCTGTAACAATTGAGAAGGACCCTACAAGACTCTACCAACCAACAAAGGGATGGGTGGAACGAACAAAACGGGTCGGACCCAGTGGTGATGCTAAACCAATGTCACTTCCCCACAGGTGTGCAATACCGAATGTAATTTAAAGGGATACTAGACTCTAGGATTTTACGGCATACAACTGTACTTACTGTATAACAAATCGTCTATACCCACACGTACTTGTTACCAGATACCTAATTTAATTGTTATAATTAATTATACATCAACACTACGAAATTTGAACAGCGCCATTGATACCTGCGACCGTGCTGCCACCCTGAAAAAGTTGCGCATTTCCCAATATATTTTGCACGTTACAGACCGAGGGCTAATCACAAAGGTGCAATTATATTTATACCTAAATGCTATTTAACCGAACGATGTTCATTTTAGGACAAATTTATCCATAATATAACTGAAACTAAATGTCGTTTATAAGATATTACAATCCTTTTGCTTTTAAATTAATAAATAAGAAACACCCTCTGTCTGTAGCCCTTGGCTGAAGTCGTTTTGCTCAACTTTTCAGATCGTGTGCTTTGAGTGGCGCCACTATCGTTGTAATCAAACTAGTCGTTAGTTTTAAAACGTTTTTAAAAAATATTTCTAATGGAGATTGAACCATGAAACTTTTTATGTAGCGTAATTTTAACCTAAATTAACTGAAAATAACCCTAGAACCTAGAGTAAAGGATCCCTTTAAGGTTTTCAAGAAAATCCCCATGAACCTCAACCAGGTCATGCAGGCTAAAGGTGCTAGGTGGTCTGATTAATATATTAAGAAGGAACCGTGATATCGATAACCATAAAATGTTAAATGAGGGTGTCCTATGCTGTCATGCATGCCATAAATTCTGTTTGATCAGAAAAATATTTTGCCGTCAATGCTTACTAATGTGCAACATTTCAGAGCGATTCCATCATGGAGGCATGGAGTGTAGCCACTGTACAGACGTCAACCCCTGAGGACCTTTCTTGTGAAATGCTGGAGAATGCAATTCAACCCTGTACATTAGAGAACGAATTGCTCAGTTTGGTCTAGCTTTTGCATATTGTTAGTTTACTGCACATAGTTTTACAATTTCAAATTATGCATGTTTACATATATTTATTAACGTGGTGTAAATAAATCTAATAAATCTGTCAAAAGGTGCATCAAGTTAATACAGGTCTGTAAAAACAGGAGATTAGAAAAATCAGCAAGTAATTGTCATCAGTAAAATACTAAAAACTGATTTATTGTTTATGTATAGCTAATAAACACACAGGTGTGTTTAACAATGAACTTCCATAACAGAGACTACAGACAAATTTGTTCATTTATAAGTAAAATTTATTTATACTATTTCTTATATACATTGTGCAATAAACTTGCATATATACCTAAAGGAAATTGTCATGTTACATTGTAACTGATGTCTCTCTAGAATTTTATCAGAGTTCTATTGATCTCCTTGGTATTATAATTAGCTTAATTATGACCTTCGTCTCCATAGAAATCTCTCTATTGTTACACAAAGCGCTGGCCACAGTAGTGCCACCTGCCTACGATACCATTCCCTGTTAAACTGCATGTGTGCTTCCTTGTTATCATCAAGGTACTTCTTGTAGAACTCGGCCATTTCATCAGCAGATAATGCCTCCGTAATGTCTGCTGTCGCACTCATATTCTCCATCTTTTCCGCAAGAAATGCTTTCTTGCTGAGGGCAAAGTTGCGATTGTGGGCAGACCAATAGCGGTGGCACCATTCTTGCGTGTCTTGTCGTTTCAGTCTGAATGCCTTCTCACGAGATGACTCGTCTGCAGGAGCATTAAATTTCACAAGGCGCAGATGGGATACATTGTGGGGCGGGCCGATCCAGTCACTCTTCATGACACACTCATCCGGTTCTCCTGCATGTGGATGTGTTGATTGCACTGCTGACGGTGCTGCAAATTGCCGTACACATTGAAGCTGGCAGTGCTCTCGAGCCACTGGCACCGCCCTGCACAGTTGTTTCGCTAGAAGTAGAACTGAGGCCATGGTGTTGAATTCTTGTGGTTACTACAAATAGTCAAACATAAAAGTTGCGACAATGCAAACACGTGGTTGGTTGTGCTTGTGCTGCGGGCCATGCTATGAGATGCCAGGGAGGCATGCCAATGCGTGTCCGGTAACACTCTTACCAACTGGTATACTTTATTTAAGGCATACTGTCAGTAATGATTAAGTTGGGTAGTAGGGCTCATAGGTTCTATGTCCCCCAGGGTACTGCCGGAACGTACCCTGGTAACTATCTGATAGGGTTAGGGAGTAGGCGTAGGCGACTCCCTAGACTCGTTAGTGGAGTAGGCGCGGTACGGTCCGGCATATTAGATAGTACCAGCAGAGCATATAAATCACGTCGATTTATATGCTCTGGTACCAGGGTACGTTCCGGCAGTACCCTGGGGGACATAGACCCTCTTAGCGGTAGTAGGGCATAACCAGCCTCAGCCATTAAATCTCATTGTGCACGCTTTTAAACTCCAACGAACTTGCTTCACTGTGAAATTGGACAGGGCATTGAAAATTAGGGTAATTGTCACCAAATTTGTTGACCCCGATTTGCAAGTTACAGCAAGCACATGCCCATAGCTTTTGTGCTACGGCATCAAGAAATTGTGTGAAAACTGTTAAGTTATCGACGATAATATCGACAATATCGATGATATCGTAGTTGCCACTCCACTAATACCTATTCTAACTATTTCCTATTCCTAATCCTACATCATATTTCCCTCCGGCTGACAATGCCCTGTCAAGTTTCGCATAGACGTTTAAAAAAAGGCCGTGTCTACGCGACCGGTTCCGGACATCCATCTCACACAGTGATCTTGCGACACGTACACGCATGATTGCGCAACGGTTCGCTCTGCTGATTGCCGAGTGTGTGTGTGAGAGAGAGCGAGAGAGAGAGGGAACGTGTAAGCTACCCGAGGTGTTTGTGTGTGCGTGCGTGCGTGCGTATCGTGCTCCGTGCGTCGCTGCGTGGTGTGATGTGGGTTTGTGTGTGTTGCAGGTTGTGTGCGTGCGGCGTGCGTGCGTCATGCGGCGTGGCGGTAA